GGGGGAGATAATGGAGCTATAGCCCCGAAAGCAGAGTATCCGGAGAAGTTTGGGGGCTGTTACCCAAGGGTGATAGGAGCACTCCCGAATATCAACCCTATACTGAGGATGGCTCCTTTCTATTGGTGGGAGTTGCGCCTGATGGAAATCGGGTCCAGCGTACCTTAGAATTGTTCAATTTCGAAACAAAAGAAAGGTACCTCCCTGCGTACTATATTTGCCAAAAAACTGTAGACCGTCTAAGTCTTTGTATTCTGCCCCTACTAGCCGTTCTGCTTGATCTTCTTGTGCTCGAAGCCCTTCCGACGACACACCATTGTCCCCACTCCTCTTCAGCCCTTGTGTGGTCGCCAGACACAGCATCTTCCTCAGGTCGCGGATCCACTACCTTGGTATGGAACAATGGCTGAGTGTGGTCCCAGTGCGGCAATGAAAAAATCCTTCTTTCGGCCGCAGCGGGCCATTAGTTCAAACATCAAACTCCAAACATATTTGATTTTTGGGATTGTCCAGATGTGCCTGGATATGCTCTCCTTGTATGTTCTGGATTGGGTCATTATAAATTTGTATCTTAGCTGGAGGCCCGTCGGAACACCTATGTAGGATGCCATAGATCCCACCGAAATAGGATGACATTGATGAGTGATCCCCATTCTCCCTTCTTCTTTTTTGTCCCCTTTTTCTCCTTGTTTTTTGTCCTCCCTGGCATCCGCCGGCCTGGGGCAGGGTATCACTCGACCAGATTGTTTGTTCCTGCACAGTGATTCTTGCAATCTTTCTTCTTCTTCTTCTTCTTCTTCTTCTTCTTTTCCTTCCTTGCAATCTATGGTCCATAATGAAGAATCATCCACTGCAGGGAAGTGGAACCTTCCTGATGATATATTACATCGTATGTTCTAACCGTATACTGGGGAGGGGGGAGGGGGGAGGGGGGAAGGGGGGTGGCATGTAGCATTATGGACCTATAATTAGACCCACTTAAAGATTTTCCACCTTTATTATGGACCTATAATTAGACCCACTTAAAGATTTGCCCCCTTCTCCCACAGCTTAGTGGTTCAGACGCCTGTCTCATCTCCATCTCTGCTCTAATACGGACCTTTAATTAGGTGTCGTAACTTTTAAATTGTTTTTAGGAGAACCGGCATCGAGCACAAAGATAGGCACAATGTCATTTGGGTCTCTTATGGAATCAACGATCTTGGTCGGTTGTTGAGAAGTAGATAGGGCATCTTTGCTTTCGCCGGCTTTCGGATAAAAAAATGTTTTTTTTTTTGTTTTTGTTTGCCCCCTCGCTGTTGCTGTTGTCGTAATCTTGTTGACAATCCACTCCTACACTAGCTTTGATCACTTTTTTTCTTCTTTTTTTTTTCTCACTAGCTTTCATCACTTTCTCAAATTTCCAGTGCTCTTTGTAGAAAGATAACAAAATGACAGTGCTGTTGAAGGCGAGGATAGTTGAAGAACAAATGAAAAGGAAAGGAACCCGAAAATCCTTGTCCTCGTCACACCCTTCC